ATGTGAGTATCTGTATTTCTTCTGTAAAAAATTTTCTGTGCAAATAGATAATTCCATTTTATTGAGATCTAATATCCCATATTCACAAATGATAATTAACTTACAACATAAATTAAAATGCTGCCATGTAACTCCAACGCAACTCGGATACAAGTATTTTTTTTTTTTTTGAAATTCTTCAAATTAAATTATTGCTTATCAGTTATCTCTATTTAAAAAAAAAAAATCCACATTTTTAATTAATTTTCTTGGTTTCAATCAGATTTTTATCTTTTTCTTGTTTTCACTCAGTCGTATTAGATGAATGAAGAATGATTATTAACGAAAAAACATTATTACAAAGATTATATGTCTTTAATTATTAAGGTAATCACTATATAAATATTTCTATATTAAGGTGATCAATTTATAAAGTTACAAAAAAGATAAATGTTTCATTATATTGTATTAAAGATAAATCTTTGTTTTTGGTAAAGATTAGGACACATAAGTATCAAAATTAAAAAGAGATTAAAATCTCTAAACGTAACTCCATTTTAATAAAATCCACTTTTTTTAAGAAACCCCATAAAAGTTATAATTATTAATTTTACATCCAAATTTGCATTTTTATTGAATTGAATTATAGATATCATCCCACCAAACACAATATAAACCCGCCACAACTTTTGGGAAGATCATATGANATCTCAAATTACACATATTCTTTACTTTGATCTCTACTGCATATCTAACCTTCTCCAGATTGAACTTCACACATTTTGTAGTAGCAATGGGCAGGGTAAATTCCATTTTCTTCTTTAATCTCTTATTAATTTTATGTTTTGATTACGTTATTATGTTTGCAACAGAGAAGAAACAGGTGTACAAGTAGGCAGCAGCAACAAAGTGGCGGATGCAATTCACACAACAATGGTGAAAACAACAAAAATGAAGAGAGTAAAAACAACCCAGATGGAGTAATTGTATTGGGTGTTTATATTCATTGTGAAGGATGTCAAGATGAAGTGCTTCGATGCCTCCGTGGGTTTGAAGGTTCCAACATTCTTTTTCTGATATGGGTTTTTGATTTTAGGTGAATTTTTGTATAATATGAATGCTAATTGATTTTTGATGTGATTTTTAGGAGTCGAGAAGATTGAAATTGATGCGAAAACTCACAAGGTTATTGTAAAGGGGAAAAAAGCTGATCCTAGTAAAGTGGCAGAGAGGTTAAGGAAGAAAAGTGGGAAGCATGTGGACTTGATTTCTCCAATTCCGCCTAAGGAAGAAAAAAAGGAGGAGAAAAAACCAGAGGTAAAATTATTATGTCACTGATTATGAAGATAAAAAAACATAGAATTTTGACTCTCTTGTTTTGGATACAGCCTCCAGCAGTGATTGAAGTAGTGTTGAAGATTTATCTGCATTGTGAAGGGTGTGCTAAAGAGGTGAAGCATTGTATTCACAAGATGGAAGGTGTGTCATTACTTTGTTTTATTATTTCTATTCTTAGCTGTAACGATTGTCTTGTAATCGCTCAGGTTAAAACATCGATGACCCTAAACTTCAAAATTGAGTACGAACTGTAGTTGAATGGATCATGTTATTTATGTCCCTAAAGCTAGCCTTCGAGAATCATCTAATGCATGATCATCCTGCTTATTATGCAAAATAAGTACTTACTAGATGAAGAAAAAAGTTGATTTGTGTGTTGATATTTGTGTATAACAGGAGTGCAAACTGTGATTCCAGAAATGGAGAAGAATCTTGTGACTGTAAAAGGAAGTATGGATGCAAAGAAACTGGTAGAGTTCGTCAACAAGAGAGGTGGAAGGCATGCAGAGATTGTGAAGGAAACTAATACTGAGAAGAAAAAAGAAAACAATGAAAATGAAAACAGAACTGGGGCGGTTTACCCAAACTATCCTTCGGATTTGGTTTATGCCCCTCAGTTATTCAGTGATGAGAACCCCAATTCCTGCTTTATTATGTAAAAGTTGTGACCACGAAAAAATTCGTGACGTGATTGATGAGAAGGATTTGATAGAATTGAACCAGTTCGACCTAGGGCCGCATGCCAAAAATGGACTACCAAAAGATTGGGGTCTGTTCTCTTTGTCATTTTCAAAGCATTTTCTATTTTCGATTTTCCAAAACAGTGAAAATGCATTATCTTTCCCAGTTTTGAAAATACGTTTTTGAAAATAAGTTAAAAATTTATAAAGAAAACTCAAAACGACAAATTTGTCATTTTCGGTGTTTTCAATTATAATCAAGTCAAAATTTTCAAAACATGCTTTGGGTGTTTTCAAAATGTCAAAAAGAACACATTTTCAATAATCTCAAAATGGATACTCAAAACATAAACCCAAAATGAATTCAAAACTCAAAACACAAAACTCAAATACAAAGAGAATAGCTCCTTAGCTTTTTCTTTTTGTGAGTGAGGTTTCTTGTAAATTGTATCGAGCATTTTACGCTGAAGATTTAAAACAACAATAATCTTGTAGTTAAAAATTTACCTTTTATTTAAAGTAGGATTGACCATGTCAAATACTAATGCTTTTTCAAGTACAAAAAGGCTAAAAATCAAACATTTATTATAACCGCGCTGGTCATAATAGATCGACTTCCATGTTAGTTCTTGGTCAGCATGAAAGTTCCATACATAAATTGTCTTAACTTCTCAATTGAAACATCAAAAACATAAATATAAACAACAATTCACGAAATTTTTATTTTTTTTTATCTGGTCGCAAATTAACAATGGGTGGGTAGTGGCGACATTTTGAAAATTTCTTAAAATTTTATCCCCATCAACATTTTTTCTCGCCATTGTGAAAATTCTGACTCGTTTATGACAGAATAGTGTCATCTATTTTAATTTGTAGAACGGACAATAATAGTTGATCTACAATTTTAGTCACACCATTTAAAAATTAAAATAAAACTTAAAAGGAATATTCTTATGGAATCAAAATTAGGATTTGTTGGGGTTCATTTGGTATGATTTTCACTTTTGTTTTACATAAAAGAGTTTCTTGAAAAAATTATTTTAATTTTTGTTTGAAAACTAATTTCTAAAAAATTTTCTATTTCGAAAGTGCTTTTAAAGAAAATTACATTAGATCAATTTCCTCTA